TATATATATATGCAGTATACACATCCAAACACTATGCATATATGTCTCTGTGTATGATGCAACTTTCCGTTATACCTTTTACAACCTGCCACAGCAACAACTGCTACTAGGATACTTCCTCGCCTCACTCACCTGTTCTGTCACCTGTTGTCTGTTAATGAGCCTGGGATATCCGAGAGGTTGGACGCCACCTGTCCTCAGGAGAAGAGGCGAAGGGGCGCCGCCACCACCTTATAACATCACCCATTCATTCAATAAATAAACTCTCTTTCTTGCTGTATTTCTGTCTCCCGGTTGCATTACGAACATCCATTCCACCTTCCTCTTGCGAGATCAATCTTTATTCTTTCTTCGCAAACATTTTATTCAACTATAGACTCTGACACACTAACAAAAAAATGTATAAACATTTTTTTTATCGCTCTCTTTCTCAAGTTATCCCCAACCCCGCCCCCCTCTCTCTCTCTCTCCCTCNTTCAAAGAGAGTTCACATTAGACCAATACACCAGTGGTGAAGAAGCATATTAATTCTAAAAAAAAGGGGTCTAATACTTTACAAAAATAAATAGGAACATTGCACAAACGATTAGGATTCAACAATTCCTTACATCATTGCTGGGACCATAAATATAAACCCACCACTTGTCAATAAATTCAATAGTGCTATCGATTATCATTTCTACTCTCTCTCTCTTCTTTTGCTTCTTTTTTTTGCCAGACAGAAAACAACCCTCCATTTGCCTGCCTTCCTCCTTCCATCCCCCTCCCCCTTCCCTTCTCTCTTCCCTCCCTCCCCTCCTTCTTCCCATAACGAGAAATTCGAAGGGGAAATTTACTTAATGGTCATGACCCGCATTCCCCTTCCCTTACCCCGCCCTAAGACTCCTTCCACTCCCCTCCCCCTCCCCCTTAACCGTCTATGGTCTCTCTCTCACTCTTTCCCTCTTCCCTCCCTTTCTCTTTCCTTCTTGTGTGTTCTTACCTTCTTTCTTTCTTTTTTATCCTTTGTGTTTTTTCTTCGTTTTTTCTTCCTTCCTTCGTTCTTTTTTTTTTGCCCTTTTTCCTTCCTCTTTTCTTTTCTCTCTTTCCTTCCCCTTTCCGTTTTCAAAGCCTCTTCCTTCTTTCTTGTCGTACTCCTTCTCCTGCTCCTTCCTTCCATCTTCCACATTCCTCTCCCTCCAGTTTCTTGCCTTCCTCTCTCCCTCCTATTCGTTTCTCCTTACACTCTCTCCCTCATCCTCACCTCTTTGTTTTCTTTACTTCTCGTTCCCTCTCCTAACCTCCCCTCTCCCTCTTCCTTCCACTTCGTCTCTACTATCTATTTCCTCTCTTTCCCTTGCTTTCTTCCTCTCTCTTCTTTCCCTTCCCTCCTCTCACCATCATTCCTTTACCCTCCTTCCCTTTTCCTTCCCTTCCCTCGTCTCTTCCTTCTCCCTTCCCTCCCCTTCACCTATCCATTCCTACCCTCTCTCCTTCTCCTATCCTCCTTCCCTCTCCTCCTCTCCTTCTTCTCCCTTCCCTCCTCTCCTAATCCATTTCCTACCCCTCTCCTCCTTCTCCTTCCCTCCTCCCTCTCCCTCTCTCTTATCCTTCTTCCCTTCCCCTCCTTCTCACCTATCCCTCCTCTCCGTCGTCCCTCCACTCCTCCTCCTCCCCTTCCATTAACCCTAGCCCTACCGTGTCGTGTTATATACAGGTAAATCGTTTTCTCCCTCTATAATGGCCCGTGTGTTATAATCTGAATGTCATGTAGTAGCAATTGAGCCAAGGCATTATGTGGTCGAAGATCCTGACGATAATACAGGGGACCACACTTGACTGGAGGAGGAGGAGGGGGAGGAGGAGGAGGAGGAGGAGGAGGAGTAGGAAGAGGAGGGGGGAGGGAGGATGGGAGGAGGAGGAGGGGAGGAGGAGGAGAGGAGGGGGGAGGAGGAGGAGGAGGAGGGGGGGGAATGGAGGAGGGTGGAGAGGGAGGAAGAGGAGGAGGGGAGGAGTAGGAGGGGGGGGAGGAGGAGGAGGGGAGGAGGAGGAGGGGGAGAGGGGGAGGAGGAGGGAAGGAGGAGGAGAGTAGGAGGGGATGACGGGGGGGAGGAGGGGAGAGGAGGAGGGGGAGGGAGGAGGAGGAGGAGAGGAGGAGGAGGAGGAGCGAGGAGGAAGGAGGAGGAGTGAGGGGTGGGAGGGGGGAGGAGGAGGAGGGGAGGGGGGGGAGGAGGAGGAGGGAGTAGGGGTGAGGGGGAGGAGGAGGGGGGGTGGAGACGGGGGGGAGGAGGAGGGGGGAGGAGGAGGAGGAGGGGGAGGAGGAGGAGGCAGGAGGAGGAGGGGAAGGGGGGAGGAGGGGGAAGAGGAGGAGGAGGAGGAGAAGGAGGAGGGGAGGAGGAGGAGGAGAGGGGAGGAGGGAGGAGTAGGAAGGGGGGAGGAGGAGGAGGAGGGGGGGGAGGAGGAGGAGGAGGGGGGGAGGAGGGGAGGAGGAGGAGAGGGGGAGTAGGAGGCAGAGGAGAGGCAAGAGGAGGAGGAGGAGGGTGGGAGGAGGAGGAGAGGAGGGGGGGGAGGAGGAGGAAGGGGGAGCAGGAGGAGGGGGGAGGGAGGAGGGGAGGGAGGAGGGGAGGAGGAGGGGGGATAGAAGGAGGAAGGAGAGGGACGGGGGGCGGGGAGAGAGGAGAAGGAGGAGGAGGAAGGAGGAGGAGGAGGAGGGGAGGATGGGGCAGGAGGTAGGAGGAGGAGGAGGAGGAGAGGAGGAAGAGGAGTAAGAGGGGAGGAGAGAGGAGGAGGAGGAGGAGGAGGAAGGGGAGAGAGGAAGGAGGGGGGAGGGGGGGGAGCGAGGAGGGGGGGAGGGGAGGAGGAGGAGGAGGGAGGAGGAGGATGAGGGGGAGGAGGGGAGGGGAGGGAGGAGGAGGGGAGGAGGGGAGGGAAGGGGAGGAGGAGGGAGGGGAGGAGGAAAGGAGAGATGGGGGGAGGAGGAGAGGAGGGGAGAGGAGAGAGGAGGGGGGGAGGAGAGCAGGGGGGGGAGAGGAGGAGGAGGAGGGTGAGAGGGGAAGGGAGGAGGAGGGGGAGGATGAGGAGAGGAGGGGGAGAGGAGGAAGGGGGGGGGGAGGAGGAGGGGAGTGGGAGGGGAGGATGAGGCGAGGAGAGAGGAGGAGGGGGGGAGGAGGAGGGGGGGGGAGGAGGAGGAGGAGGGGGGAGGAGGGAAGGAGGAGGGGGGGAGGAGGGGCAGGAAGGGGGGGGAGGGAGGAGGAGGAGGAGGAGAGGAGGAGGGGGAGGAGGAGGGGAGGAGGAAGGAGAGGAGGAGGAGGGGGGAAGTAGGAGAGGAGGAGGAGGGAGGGGAGGAGGAGGAGGGGAAAAAGGGGAGTATAGGGATAGGGCAAGGGGGAGGGGAGGGATGAGGGTTAAGGAGGAGGGGGAGGGGGAAAAGAGGGGGGAAAGGGGGAAGGTGGGAGGGGAGGGTGGTATAGGAATATTGGACTGGTGGTAGCTGGTAGGGGAGGGGGGGGAGGGAAAAAGAGAGGAGGATAGGGATAGGGAAGGGAGAGGGATGAGGAGGGGAGGGGGAAGGGGATATGAGGTACTGCTGGTGTAGTGGTAGGGGGGAGGGGAGGGGAGGGAAAAGGGAGGAGTATAGGGGATAGGGCAGGGGGAGGAGGGGGGATTGGGTTATAGGAGAGGGGAGATGATAGAGGGTTAAGGGAGAGCACTTCACTAATAGTGGTGGGGGGAGTGGTTAGGGGGAGGGAACGAGAGGAGGGAGAGAGAAGGGAGGAGGGAGAGGGAAGGGAGGAGGGAGAGAGAAGGGAGGAGGGAGAGAGAAGGGAGGAGGTTAGAGGAAAGGGAGAAGCGGCAAATGGGAAGTGGGATTGGGGGTAGTAGAAGGGGTAGGGGAGGGGAGGGGGGGGGAGGAGGAAGAGAGTGAAACGAACGAAAGTAGGAGAGAAGAAAAAATACGGTAAAAGGAGGGGGACGTAGGAACAAAGCTAATAATCCAAAGAGGGGAATGGAGACAGACAATGGAAAATAGATAAAAAGTTGATACGAATGGAGTAAGAGAGAAGAGGAATAACCAAAAGATGGGGAAAGGGAAGGGGGAGAGGGGAGAGTCATCGGAGGCCTTGTCTATAAGGTTGATAACTGCTAATCAACCCTTTGAAGACCGATGTGATTGGCACCATTTAGCACATGGGAG